CAGCCTCCCGAGTAGCGGGGATTACAGGCACCTGCCACCACACCTGGCTAATTTTGTATTTTTAGTAGAGATGGGATTTCACCATATTGGTCAGGCTGGTCCTGAACTCCCAACCTCAGGTGTTCCGCCTGTCTCGGCCTCCCAAAGTGCTGGGATTGCAGGTGTGAGCCACTGTGCCTGGCCTGAGATGAATCTTAAAAATCAAAATTTCCCCAGTGTCCCAGGCACACTCAAAGCAAAATTAAATAAAGGTTCGGCATCCCTAGTCTGAAAATCTGATATCTGAAAGGCTCCAAAATCCAAAACTTTTTTGAGAGTTGACCTGACACCATCAGTGGAAAATTCCACACCTTATGTGATGGATTGCAGTCTAACAGCAGTCAAAACTTTGTTTCTTGGACAAAATTATTTAAAATAGTGTATAAAATTATCTCCAGGCTAAGGTATATATGAAATATAAATGAATTTCATGTTCAGACTTGGGTCCCATCTCCAAGACATCTCATTATTTATATGCAAATATTCCAAACTCGAAAAGATTTGAAATTTAGAACACTTCTGGTAGCAAGCATTTTGGATATGGGATACTCAATCTGTAGTTTCATTTTAATTATTTTAATGTAACTTAACTGAGCATCAAATTTTAAATTCCTTTTTTAAAAAATTCAGAAAACTTAAATGGCTACCTAAGATGACAGCCCAGTGACAGACATGGAAAGAGGCTTAGAGGTCATCTCACCCATCACATCATTTTATAGAGGAAAGGAAAATGCCATCCAGAGAAGGAAAGTCAGAAAGCCATCTAGCCCCAGACCAGGGAGTGGTGGCAGAACCACAGCTGGTCAGACACAAGAAGCTGCTTCCAAAAATGTTTATTTCCATTTGTCCTACAATGAAAACATCAGAAAACAAACAAAACAAAAATTTTTTTTTGTTTTTTTTTGAGATGGAGTCTCACTCTGTCTCCAGGCTGGAATGCAGTGGCTCGATCTCGGCTCACTGCAACCCACACCTCCCGGGGTCAAGCGATTCCCCTGCCTCAGCCTTTTGAGTGGCTGGGACTATAGGTGTGTGCCACCACACCTGGCTAATTTTTTGTATTATAGTAGAGACGGGGTTTCACCATACTGGCCAGGATGGTCTCAATCTCCTGACCTCGTGATCCGCCTGCCTCGGCCTCCCAAAGTGCTGGAATTATAGGCATAAGCCACTGTGCCTGGCCTAGAAAACAAAATTTTATAAGCATGTCTCTAGCTCTAACTCACTATTCAACTGAAGGATAAATTAAATAGAGAATGAGATAATCTTAACTTCATGAGATTTGTTCTTAAATGTAGTTTCTACCCTAAGAAACCAATCTATGGTAAAGATAATATTTTTGTTTTTCAATGAGGCTGGTAAAACATTAGAACTTTGAAGCTTAGAGTGATAACATTTATTCATTCGTGCGAACCTTATCAGGATTAGGTAAATCTAATCAAAGCAAAACAAAATGATCTGGAAAGCTTTGTGACCAAAACCAATAGGTGTATTCAATACTCCTTTGAAGGGCACCTAATTCCAATAACATTTATATTTATAAATGTCCTCTAAATCTTTTATCTTCTGCAAATAAATTATTTCTCACACATACCAAATACAAGGGTTAGTCCAATACATCAGCCTGTTTTCCAGCATGTACTCGGTGTCTCCAGGATGAGGACACATTGTGGGTCTTTTCACACTTCTCTCTCCCATCACCCACCCCTCTCCTTCTGATTTAACATATTGTTGCATTTCTGTCAAATTATCTGGAATGGAACAGTAGTGTTTAATCAGGTATACACACTGCCACGGGAACCTGCAACTTCAAATTCTACCCCTAATCACTGATGCTGACTTGTTAAAACATATATATTTTTTTTTGAGATGGAGTCTTGTGACCTCACGCAGACAGGAGTGCCATGGCGTGATCTCGGCTCACTGCAACCTCCACCTCCCAGGTTCAAGCGATTCTCATGCCCCAGTCTCCTAAATAGCTGGGATTGTAGGCAACTGCCACCATGCCCGGCTAATTTCTGTATTTTTAGTAGGGACAGGGTCTCACCATGTTGGCCAGGCTGGTCTTGAACTTCTGACTTCAGATGATGCACTTGTCTTGGCCTCCCAAAGTAGCTGGGATTATAGGTGCCTAGCGCCATACCTGTGAGCCACCGTGCCCGGCAGTAGTTTTGGGTTTTTTTGTGTGTTTTTTTTTGAGACAGAGTCTTGCTCTGCTGCCCAGGCTGGAGTGTAGTGGTGCTATCTCGGCTCATTGCAAACTCTGCCTCCTGGGTTCAAGTTATTCTCCTGTCTCAGCCTCCCAAATAGCTGGGATTACAGATGTGTGCCACCACACCTGGCTAATTTTTTGTATTTTTAGTGGAGATGGGGTTTCATCATGTTGGTCAGGCTGGTCTCAAACTCCTAACCTCAAGTGATCCAACCGCCTCGGCCTCCCAAAGTGCTGTGATTATAGGCATGAGCCACTGCACCTGGCCCAAACAGTTTTTAAAATGATGTAAATAACATATAAAATTTACCATCTGAACCATCTTCAAGTGTGCAATAGAATGGGGTAACTATAGTGCATGTTGTTGTATGACAGATATCAAGAAATTTCTCACCTTTGCATAATTGAAACTTCATACTCATCAAAGAACAACTCCCCATTTTCTTTTTGTGACTGGCTAATTTCACTTAGCATAATGTTTGCTAAGCATCTTTGGCATGCACTGATCTACCCAACAAACATGAACTGAGGGCCTAGTGCTGGCTAACATTGCCAGGAACAGCTGTTATACTAGAAAAATCTACTTGTAAAATGGTAAAAATAGCAATATGGGTTTGTAGAGGGTTTTCACACATACTGTGTTGTCATCATTTATGACAGGGTTTCTCACCCTTGGCGTTATCGATATTTTAAACCAGATAATTGGCTGTGGTGGGGGCTGTTCTGTTCATTGTTGGACGTTTAGCAGCATACTGGCATCTACCCGCTAGATGTAGTATCAGCTACTTGGGAGGCTGAGGTGGGAGGATTCCTGGAGCCCCGGATTGAAGGCTGCAGTGCATTGCGATCCAGCCTGTGAATAGCCACTGTACTCCAGCCTGGGCAACATAGCAAGATCTGCTCTCTAAAAAGCAAAACAAACAAACAAACAAAAACAGTATATGAGGCTACCTGGCACACAACAGGCACTTAATAAATAAAAGCTGTGTTTCATGCCCATAATCCCAGCACTGTGGGAGGCAGAGACAGATGGATCACCTGAGGTCAGGAGTTCAAAACCAGCCTGGCCAACATGGTGAGATCCTGTCTCTATTAAAAATACAAAAAATTAGCCAGGCATGGTAGTGGGTGCCTGTAATCTCAGCTACTTGGGAGGCTGAGGCAGGGTAATCAATTGAACCCAGGAGGCAGAGGTTGCAGTGAGCCGAGATGGTGTCATTGTACTCCAGCCTGGACAACAAGAGCAAAACTCGGTCTCAAAAAAATATATATATTATTTAATAACATCATATAAAATATATGAAATTGAGTAGCTGGATATTAAGTATAACCCATTAACGGGACACTGAACAATAGAGGTTCACTGGATAGGTTCCGCTCTTGTTGCCCAGGCTGGAGTGCAATGGCACAATCTCAGCTCACCACAACCTCTGCCTCCCAGGTTCCAGCAGTTCTCCTGCTTCAGCCTCCCGAGTAGCTGGGACTACAGGCATATACCAGCACACCTGGATAATTTTGTATTTTTAGTAGAGACGGGGTTTCTCCATGTTGGTCAGGCTGGTCTGGAACTCCCAACCTCAGGTGATCAGCCCGCCTCAGCCTCCCAAAGTGCTGGGATTACCTGGCAGGTAGGAATATTTTTATTTGAAATCTGGCTCTACCTCTAATTAGATATGTGCTGTTGGCAAAAATCACTGAGTCTCTTTGGGTCTCAGTTCTACCAACTGTCAAGGGAGATTAAATAAACTTGCTGTGTGTACTTTATAAGGTTATAATGATATTAAACTTATGTAATAAAAGGAACGTACTTTGAAAGTACAAACTTGTTACACATGCAAGCCATTGGTATGATGTAAATTTTCTGTAACAACTTTATTGAGACTTAATTCATATACCATACAATTCTTCCATTTGAAATGTACAGTGCAGTGGTTTTCAGTATATTCACACAAGGTTATGCGACCATTATCTCCATCTAATTCCACAATATACGTTATTATCCCAAAAGAAACCATCTAATCATTACATGATGGTCCCAACTCCCTGGGTCCCTGAGAGCTGCCAATTTATCTTCTGATTCTAAAATTTTTCCTGTTCTGAGCATTTCACAACTAGAATATGATATAAATTTTACTAGTTCCCTTCACAGTATTGTAAGTCTAAGCTGTCTCACATCCTTTTTGTAAGAGGAGAGGTGTGTTTGTTTTATTAGAGTAAGCAATAGTGTGTTCTTTTTGTCAATAATTTTTTTTTTCAATTCAGACTCCATAGAGACTGTCAAAAATTGCCAATGACTATATTTCAAATCGTCATGGCAGGGTATTGGGAAAAGTTTTCAATTAGCAATAATCACGCCTCGGATAAACCTCATTGGCTACAATACTGTGCAAAGCTGTCAATAATATTTTTTAACAATTTTTTTTGAGACAGAGTCTCCCTCTGTCACCCAGGCTGGAGTGTAGTGGCGCGATCTCAGCTCACTGTAACCTCCACCTCCAAGGTTCAAGTAATTCTCCTGCCTCAGCATCCTGAGTAATTGGTATTACTGGCGCCTACCACCACGCCAGGCTAATTTTTGTAGTTTTAGTAGAGACAGGGTTTCACCATGTTGTTCAGGCTGGTCTCAAACTCCCGACTTCAGGTGATCTGCCTGCCTTGGCCTCTCAAAGTGCTGGGATTACAGGCATGAGCCACTGTGCCTGGCTGTATTTTAGTAACATTTTTATCACAGAAATAGCTCAGGAGTAGATAAGTGTTCTAAAATTATTGCCATGTTGCTCAATGAATGTTTGTCAAACCACCTCTGTGACTGATGTCCATGTAGAAAAGACTTGTGAAATAGTATTGTGAAGCACCCTCATATTTCCGCCAGCAGTAAGGATTTTCCTTTGTTCTTTGATGTTCATATTTGCTTTAGTTCTAAGTCCCCTAGGGGGCCCGTTTATGCTCAGCTAGTTTGTGCAAGAAAGGAAGGCTTGTGAAATGCTCCAAGAACAGGTTTGGCCAATCAAATGTTCGGCGTGGTGTTGTCAGGAAGCTTGCCTCTCACCAGAAGGGGAACTTCTGGGAGGTGTCACTGCACCAGACCATTGCTAGGTGGAGGTCTGGCAGCTCCAATGGAATACTTGAAAGTGGTTTGGAAAGGACCACTGTGACCCCATTTTTTTTTCCTTAAGGAAGATGCCAGTTTTATTTAAACACAAAATGTACACATAAGCTGTCTACTCATTTTCTTCACTGCGCAGCCTGGCATTGGGGTTGGTGACTCTGATGGCCAGCTAGGCAGCTCTTTCCACAATGGCTTTGCGGTGCTTGGAGGAAACATTGTGGGCGATCTCAGCACAGTAGGATTTGTTGCACATCAGCAGCACTTCCAGCTCTTTAACGTTGTGGACCAGGAACTTCCGGAAGCCGCTGGGCAGCATGTGCTTTGTTTTCTTGTTGCTGCCATAACCAATGTTAGGCATCAAGATCTGGCCCTTGAACCTTCTACGAACCCTGTTGTCAATACCTCTGGGTTTCCGCCAGTTACACTTAATTTTGACATATCGGTCTGACTGGTGCCGGATGAACTTCTTGGCTCTCTTTTTGACGATCTTGGGTTTCATAAGGGGTCTAAGGGCGGCCATGATGCTGAGGAGGAGATCGCTCCCCATTTTTTTTTTTTTTTTTGTAAAGTCTCACCATCTTGTCCAGGATGGTTTTGAACTCCTGGGCTCAGGCAGTCCTTCCACTTCAGCTTCCCAAAGTGCTGGGATTACAAGTGTGGGCCACCATATCTGGCCCCTAATTTTTAATATTTATTCATGCTCTACTTAAAAAATGCCTTTACTGCCGGGCGCGGTGGCTCACGCCTGTAATCCCAGCACTTTGGGAGGCCGAGGCGGGTGGATCACGAGGTCAAGAGATTGAGACCATCCTCGTCAACATGGTGAAACCTCGTCTCTACTAAAACTACAAAAAATTAGCTGGGCATGGTGGCGCGTGCCTGTAATCCCAGCTAGTCAGGAGGCTGAGGCAGGAGAATTGCCTGAACCCAGGAGGCGGAGGTTGTGGTGAGCCGAGATCGCGCCATTGCACTCCAGCCTGGGTAACAAGAGCGAAACTCCGTCTCAAAAAAAAAAAAAAAAAAAAAAAAGCCTTTACTATACCAAGGACTAGATGTGCTAAGGTAGATATTTGCTAAGCACTTGGGATACAGGGGTGAGAGACAGACCCTTTTTTTTTTGAGACAGAGTTTCAAAAAAAAAAAAAAAATTTAGCCAGGCTGGAGTGCAGTGGTGTGATCTCAGGTCACTGCAACCTCCGCCTCCTGGGTTCAAGCCATTCTCCTGCCTCAGCCTCTTTAGTGGCTGGGACTACAGCTACCTGCCACCATGCCTGGCTAATTTTTGTATTTTTAGTAGAGACAGGATTTCACCATGTTGGCCAGGCTGGTCTTGAACTCCTGACCTCAGGTAATCTGCCTGCCTCGGCCTCCCAAAGCACTGAGATTACAGGTGTGAGCCTCCATGCCTGGTCCAGACACATTACATGCTACACAGATGTGCACTCATACATTCACACATACACAGAATAAAAAGACTGGGATGTATTCACAAGAATGTTAACGGTGGTTTTCCCTGAGTTGTAGCATTATGGATTATTTTTGTTACTTTCACTCACTTCCAGAGCTTGCACTGCTTTTACAAGTGGGGAAAAGATTTTGTTCAGTCTCAATTTGCAGAGCTAATTTCTGAAATCCAGAAATGTGGCAGTTGAAAGCACATCTGCTCCAGGAGTATCACAGTGTATCAAATACTGCATCCTGAGACAGCTCCATGTTTCAAACTATGGTAGGAGATCTGCAATTTCTGAGAGAAACACCCAGAGACTTCTGGGCAGTATATGTTCATGAAAAGAAAAAATATGTCATCTGGTTTTTCTGCATTATGAAAAATGCACTTTAATGAAATTAAGAGATTAATCAAGAATAAATTAAAACACTGTCTTTTTTTCTTTCTTCTTTCTTTCTCTCTTTCTTTTCTTTTTTTTTTTTTGAGACAGGGTCTCACTCTGTTGCCCAGGCTGGAGTGCAGTAGCACGATCTTGGCTCACTGCAACCTCCGACTCCCTGGTTCAAGCGATTCTCCAGCCTCAGCCTCCTGAGTAGCTGGGATTACAGGCATGCGCCACCACGCCCAGCTTATTTTTGTATTTTTAGTAGAGATGAGGTTTCACCATGTTGACCAGGATGGTCTCAATCTCCTGACATTGTGATTTGCCCACCTTGGCCTCCCAGAGTGCTGGGATTACAGGCGTGAGCCACTGTACCCGGCCCCACTATCCTTTTTTCTACATATTCTTTCCAGATCCAGGAAAGGGTTCGGGGGAGGGAAGCAGTCATTTCTGGCCTTCTCTTGCCTTCTGACCTGGCTACTGAAGCACACAGGCCCATGCCACATTTAATAACCTTTAGAGACAGATGTTTGTAAAGTGGAACCCTGGCTTGATTAATTCAAACTGTGCCTAAAACCAATGTTTATTTTGTTTTATTGCCTTATATTTGAAGTTTAAATGTCTACTCATTATTGATCAACTTTGATTATGGATTTACTGGCACAAAAAGGTGATTTGAAAAATGCTAATCTCTCCCACCTTGAAGGCTGACAATTTAAACTAGCTCAGTAAAAGATCTGAGAAGTCATGCAGTAAAGAAACTTGCTTGGCTTTATTTCACCCAGTGTTTACCAAACTAATTTTTTCAGCTAAGTGTTCTTTTTTTTTTCTTTGAGTGAAATAAGTTTCAGTCTTACTGCCCAGGGTGGAGTGCAATGGTGCAATTTCAGCTCACTACAACCTCCACCTCCCAGGTTCAGGCAATTCTCCTGCCTCAGCCTCCAGAGTAGCTGGGATTACAGGCATGTACCACCACGCCCAGCTAAGTTTGTATTTTCAGTAGAGACGGGGTTTCTCACCATGTTAGCCAGTCTGATCTTGAACTCTTGATCTCAAGTGATCTGCCCGCCTTGGCCTCCCAAATTGCTGGGATTACAGGCATGAGTCACAGTGCCTGTGCCTTCTCTCAGATTTTTTTTTTTTCCA